CAATCCACGAGCCCTGGGAACGCCCCTCCCATCCCCCAGGAACAGAGCAGGACCCCGGGGGGGACTCACCATCCATGTCCAGGCGCTGCATGATGATGGCCAGCTCCACCTCACTGGGCATGTACCCCAGCGAGCGCATGGCCATGCCCAGCTCCTGCTTGGAGATGAAGCCATTCCCATCCCTGTCCAGCACTCGGAAAGCCTCCCGGATTTCTGTGAAGGGCAAGGAAGAAGGGAGGAGTTGTTACGCTGGAGGAGTCCTCGGGCAGTGCGGCAGCGAGTGGGGAGCGCAGAAGCAGCTGGGATTGCCCTTTGCAACGGGAATGGGGGGTGTTTTGTGGTTTCAGGCAGTGCAACCGTGGTTTGTCGATGCAGAGAAACCTTTGTGCGTGCACAGTGTGAGCACCTGGGAGAGCAGAGGGGACAGCAGAGAACCACTGAGTCATTTAGCTTGGAACAGCCCCCCAGGACCATCCAGTCCAACCATTAAACCACCACTGACCACATCCCCGAGTGCCACATCCACTCAGCTGTTAAACCCCCCCAGGGATGGGGACACCCCACTGCTCTGGGCAGCTGTGCCAGGGCTGGACAACCTTCCAGTGAAGGCATTTTCCCAACATCCAACCTCAACCTCCCCTGGCACAGCTTGAGGCCGTTCCCTCTCCTCCTGTCCCTTGTCCCCCTGAGCAGTTTCTGTCTCCTGCTCACAGCTTTGCTCTCATTTATACCAACTTTACAGCAATAAAGAGCCCCAGATGAATCACAGTCTGATGGCACCAAAGGAATCACTCCCATCACACGTCCCCAGCCTGGCTCAGCTTCTGACATTTGACTTTGCTGTGCTTTTTGATTGTGTTAAATCCCCCTCCAGCCTTTAACAGCCCCTCTCCACTCCTTACCCACTGGGGCCTGCCAGAGCTCAAGGAGTGTTTGGACAAGGCTCTCAGGGACCTGGTGGGATATTTGGGGGTCCTGTGCAGGGCCAGGGGTTGGACTGGACGATCTGATGGGTCTCTTCCAGCTCAGGATATTTTCTGACTCCATAATCCACCACACTGATGTCTCTGCACCTTTCCTGCTCCTCAGAGATCTCTCAACTTGCAGCCCCAACCCCAAATCTGCCCAAATCTGACTGGTGCAAATGCCAGGCAGAGACATTTGAACATTCCAGGCAGCTGGGAGCCTGTTCTCAGAAAGGGTTTGGTTGGGAGTGGGGAGGGAAAGAGGTGCTGATTGCCCCATGCCTGGGGAGGAAATCATGGGATGCTCGATCATGTTTTACAGGAACCATCAGCACACTGGGACCTCACTCTGCTCAGAGCAGTTCAATCTTCAGGTGAAAGCATTTCACTGAAGTGGGAGGGAAAACTCAGCAGGTTTTTTTTGGGGGGAAAAAAAAACCAAACAAACAACCCCTAATTAATAATTTTTCTATTTTCTCTCAAGAAACAGAGGATGGAAAATGTTTGGGCCCACTCTGGGTAGTCCAGGCTTTTAAGCCTCAGACAAGGAAATATTCCCTGCCAGAATGTCACCTCCCCTGGGGCCAGGGGGCAGCAGACCCTGCAGTGAAAGCTTTGGATGGTCCTCAGTCCTCCTGGGAGCAAGTCAGGAGCATCACAACCCGCCAGGAAATGTTCTGGTGATGTCTTTGCTAACAGGGTATTTAAAGGCTGCTTCTAAATCACCTCCCATCCAGCTTCACCACCTCCCCTGACACCTCCAGCCTGCTCTGGGGAATTATTCTGCCAGGAGGAATTCCCTGGGGATGGGCCAGGGCACTTCCAGGACTTTAACCCTCCCCACAGCTGGGTTACCTCAGTGAGACAAGATCACTTTTAACCCAGCCACTGGTGCAAAAAGGGAAGAGCCTTTTTAATTCCAAGGAATATCAGGCCCCATCTATAATCTCTCCACTTTGGGTTCAGCTTTGCATCAACTGTGGCTTCTTTCAGCTGAAATTCTCCCCTCTGTCTTCCCAAGCTGGTGGGAGCTGGGTGGGAGAAGGTGATGGGGCTGCTCCAAGCTGGAAGTTTTGGCCCAGAACGTGGAGAGCCTTTGGAGCAGGAACAAATCCCACCAGACACTGCCAGCTGTAGGGAAATCTCTTCTCCTGTGCTGTGCTGAAAGCTCAAGTGCAGTAAATGTTCCACCAGAATCAATTAATTTCCAAATCCACTTTTGACTGCTGAAGACTAAAAGAGCCAAATGTATCCCAGGGAGCTGAGAGAGTATCTTAGAGGGTAAAATCTGGGTTTCCAGGTGAGTTTGGCTGATCCAAGGGCCATGGATCTGCTGTGGGATACCTGAATGCCACCTGGAGTGCCCTGTGTGATTTCAGAGGGTGCATTAACAGCACTGCAACCTCAGAGCCTCAGTCAGAGGAGAAACCCCCCCCACATTTGGGGTCCTGCTCTGCTCCTCTCAGAGCCCTGAACTGTTGAACCACCTTCCCAAATCAACTCCTGACACCAAGTGGAGCTTTTTGTCCCCTCATCACTCTATAAATACCACTGGTGCAGAGGTAGATTGGGAGAGCTATTTATAGGCTGAACACACTGTACATGAACAGCTCTGACCTCAGTCAGTGCCTCCTCTTTATCTGCACATGTAACACCACCTCCTTAGCAGCTTTTCTTTGGGGTGATTCTTTCCCCTCTGTGGTCCTGGGGGAGCCACAGCCCTGAGGATCCTTCCCAATCCCAGCCCACCAGCACTGCTGGGGTCCCCACCATCAGCCCATGAACCTGTGGCACCTGGCTGGCCCTCACCTTCATCTCCAGCTGTTAAACTTCATTACCCAAAGCTAAAAATACATCAGCACTTTCCCCAGATGACTTTCCCAAAGAAGTCTCCATGGCAACTGATGCTCCTGGCTCCAAACTGGGGGTGGATGTGGTCCACGAGGGAATCTCTCAACAGTGACAGTTCTGGGGCTCAGGAGAACCTGTGAGACCTCTGCCATTCCAGGTGGAACCTGGAGGTTTTACCCTGATCAAGAGAAGCCGAGCACTGTTTTGTCTTTAAAAAGAAGAGTAAAGATAATAAGGGGAGTGGATGTTCAAGAGATGCTGCCCCAGGAGCTGCCTTTCCCCCTTGCCCAGCCTGGATGGCAAAAGGAAACCAAGCACATGGATCCCTTCTTCCCTAAGGTGTCAGAAATGCTGATATTTATTCCCCTTTCCACTGTGCAGCACCTTCTTTTACTCCCAAATATCAGCAGTCGACACAGAAATACCTTAGAGGGTAAAAGGGGGGGAAAAAAAAGAAGCAAAACTGTAAAGAGAAAAGAAAGTGGCCCTTTCTGGTGGTGATGGCACTGGCCTGAACCTCAGGAAACATTTGGGCTCTTCTCCATGGCTCAGGTTCTCCAGCCCCTGGGAATGGTGGGATTTCCACACAAACATCTTCCCCCTGGGAGCAGCACTGAACCATCTCCCCCCCCCAGCACTGATTCCAGCAGGAGCAGATGCCACTGCCCAGAGACTCTGTCAGCTGGACAGACGAGGGGAGGGAAGGAATCCACATCCCAACCCATGGAATCCCGGAATGGTTTGGGTTGGAAGGCACCTTAAAGCTCATCTCGCTCCACCCACGGGCAGGGACACCTCCCACTGTCCCAGCTTGCTCCAAGTGCTTCCCAACCCATCCAGTCACCCCAACAAACATCCTTGCTAATGATTCCACAGAGGGAGCGTCCACAGCATTCACTAAATTCCCCAAAGATACAAGGCTGGAAAGAATTGCCAGGGAAAAAAAATTCCAGCGAGGAGAAATGAGCAAATCAGCCAAGATTTTGGGGCAGAAAGGCCCTATCCTGGCTCAACAGGTTGGGGAGCTGAAGGCACCTCTTCAGCACAGTTGAGCCAGGAATGCTTTTCCCTGGATGAGGATTTCTGGTCCAGGGGAGCTGAGAGCACAGCACTCACCTCTCCGAGTTATCTGAGCATTCCAGAGCAATCAGGGAAAGGGGGATGTGTTTGTGTGTGTTTGCCCTTTCATTCATCCCCCCCTTTCCTCCCATTTCACAGCTGCACTTCACAGCTTCCCTATTACTGTCCAATCAATTCCCCCCCAAAGTCCTCTGGGAAGAAAGATGGGAAGAATCAGGGAGAAGGACGGTGGTTTTTTAAATTTACCTTTGTGAAGGGCACACACAGGGCTGGTGCCAGAGCTGCCACCCAGCCCAGCAAGTCCTAAACTCTCCACGTGCATCCCAAAAACCATCCTCAGCCCCTTTGCTCCCGCCCCAGTCCTTCCCTCCCCAACATCCCGCATCCCTTCCCAGCTCATCCCTCCTCCCTGTTCACAGCAGGTTCACTTCCAGGTGATTTCCCTCTGCCTGCACAACCATCGCTATTTTCATTTGGCTTCCTGGATGAGGAAGACTCACGATTCCCTGGGAAATCAACCCATCCAGAGCCATCCCTGTGCCCTGAGCACCCTCAGATGGTTCCACGTCACTCACCGGGTGCGAACCCCCCCTCCCACTAAAGGTTGCAATCCGGGTGTAATCAGCCACACCCCCCCCCGTGCGGAGCAATCCCAACCACGCGGGTTTCAGCAGCGTGATGAGAGAGGAGATCCCACCAGCCCGAACCTTGAAAATCCTCTCTTTCCCTGAATTGCAGGTTTGGGCACCGAAGTACAAACCGACTGATCTCGAAGCTGCAAATAACGCGTCCCCGGGTGAACTGGTGAGTCTCGTAACTACTATGTCTACAAAAAATGGAAATTTCCATCCCTCCATCTGCTGTTTTACGCTTGTTTTTTCCCCTCTTTTTTTTTTTTTTTCCCCCCTTTGCTGCAAATTGCAACAAAGTGTCAAAATAACCACGGTTTTCTTCTAATGGCAACGCCCCCCCCTCCAACGTCTTCCAATCGCGAGTGTCAAAATATTTCTGTCTCAGCAGAACCAGATCAAACCCCTCTCCCTGCAACCTGGAGGGTGAGAAGTTCCAGATCTGAGTCCTCTCAGCAGCACCGAAACCAGCTGAAAATGGGGCGTAAGTGGGGATTTCATCGTCGTCTCGGAGCTCCAGCGGCTCAGAGAGACACGCAGGGATGTCAGACGGGCAAAGCTCCTCAACCTGACACAGCAGCTCAGCTCACAGAGCTCTGCCTCAAACCCCAGTGTCTCGCCTCGTTTGGCCTTTTCATACATAATTTGGCAGATTTTTATGTTTTTCTCCCTTCCCCGGGGGAAAAAAACAAAAACAAAAGCAAAAACCCAACCAAACCGCATGATTTGTGGAAATGACACTTCCTGTGGTTCTGTTCCCAAACACATCCAAGGCAAACCTGCGGGAACACCCCATTTCCATACAAATGCACCACGGAACGACTGCCAAGCGCTCCCTCAGTGAAGCTTTTAGTGCTGGCAGCAGGGATTGGGAATAACAGTTCAGGATGTGAATTGGAGGCCGGGCTGCTGGACAGCAGCATTCCAACCCCTTCGCTCCCCAGTGGGGCTCCATCCCCTCTCCAGGATCACACGAGTCCTGCCATCGTGTGCAGACGTTTTGTCAGAAGATTTTGGCCAAATAGCAACTTCCCTGTAAAGTTCCCTGCTGTGGGAGGGAATGGGATTTTCCACCAGGACACCAGCAAGGCTCACCCTCCGTGCCAAAGGAAGGATGTGTGGGGCTGGAGATGCTGTGTTAATTATTGAATTAACCAGTAAATAGTGCAGGTTAATTAAGTTTTTGGTGCCTTAGGCTGGTACTGAGTGGTGAGGGGTGAGCTCAAAGTGAGGGGAGGAGGATACAAGTGGAGAGAGGCTGCCAGGAGAGAGAAGGGCAGGACTTGGCCCATCAATCATGGGGTGATTTGGGTTGGAAGGGACCTTAAAGATCATCCAGTCCCACCCCCTGCCATGGGCAGGGACAGCTTCCATTAGCCCAGGTGTCTCCAAGTCCCATCCAACCTGGCCTTGGACACTTCCAGAGATCCAGGGGCAGCCACAGCTTCTCTGGGCAACCTGTGCCAGGGCCTGCCCACCCTCCCAGGGAGGTGATTTGTGTGGCAAGGAAGATGAAGGGGACAACCCAGAGACAGAGAAGAGCCACTCCAGGTGAAGAGCAACACTGGTGTGAGAACAAATGGGGCTGAGCAAATTTAGCCTGAGAATGAGGAGTTTCAGAGGTGAGTAATGACTGCAGCGCTTGGAAATGGGGCTTGAGCCAGTCTGGGCACCTCCAGCAGCAGCAACCAGCTCCAGGGACCTTTGAGGGACCTTTGAGGGACCTCTTCCAGCCCCTGCTAAGAGAATGTTGACTCCAGGTGTATCAGTCTTGATGTCCTGTGTCAAGAGTACCAGTGCCCACCCCAGCAGTGCAAACCCACGGGGATTTCGTGGCAGTTCTTCCACGAGGGATGAGGTCCCTCCGTGGGGGATGATGAGGTTCACCACTGGAGCTGCTTTGCTCCAATGATCTCTGCTCCTCCAGAGGTGTTGCTGCTTCCTTGGCTTTGTGGATCTCCCCCAGGCAGGTCAGAGCAGGAGGCTGTTGATGAGCAGACAATCCTAAAGGGCAGCTGCAGGAGGGGTGGGGTGGGGGCTCAGACAAACCTCTCAGCTCTGCTCTCCGGATGGAAATCGGCTTTTTGAAGGTCTCAGCGTTTTGGGCAGGGCTGACCTGCAGGTCCCTGTGCCCTGCAGGAGCTGGGGGTGGGGACAGCATCACCTCACACCGCTCACAGAGGGGTTTGGGCCTCCTGGCACGAGCTGTGGGACCCTGAGGGCACCTTGGCCAGGGCCACCAGGACAGACCCTCCTTTGGCTCGTTCCACTCACAGAACTGGGCAGGGAAGAGGAAGGAGAGGGGCAGGTCCTCCAAACACACAGTCTGGGGCAAGAGGTGCCAGTCCAGGGAATTCCAGCAGACCTGCAGAGTCTCCTCCTGTCACGGATCACTGACCTGGTGGAAGATGCCACAGGAACATTCCCAGAACTCCCATGGGATCGAGGGGAAGGTCCCACCTGCTCTGCTCAAACCAGGCTTTGGTTGGGTTTATGGTCTCTGATCTCCTGGTGGGGCTGTTGCTGAGCTGGGCAGTCACAGCCAGGAATTTTGGGAGAGTTTCGGGAAGTTCTGGAACTCAGGGTGGTCGAGGGAGGGTAAAAATGAGTGACTCGTTCTTGAGGAAAAAAGGAAAAGGAAGAAGAGAAGGGAAAAGGAAGAAGAGAAGGGAAAAGGAAAAGCAAAGATAAAAATAAGAGGGAGGAAGAGGAAAAAAGCAAAAAGAAATAGAAGTGGAAGGAAAAATGAAGAAGAAGAAAAAGAAAAAATAAGAGGAAAGGAAAAAGAAAAAGAAAAAAGGAAAAGAAAAGGGAAAAGGAAAAGCAAAAGGAGATTATGAGGAAAAAGGGAAAGGAAAAATGAAAAAGGAGAAAGGAAAAGGGAAAAATAAAAAGAAGAAGGAGGAAAGAGTGAAAAAGGAAAAAAGAGAAAAGGAAAATAAAAATAAGAGGGAAAAGGAAAATAAAAAGAAAGGGAAAAGGAAAAAATGAAAAAGGGAAAAGGAAAAGGGAAAATAAGAAGAAGGAGAAAAGAAAAAAGGGGAAAGAAAATGAAAAGAAGAAGAAGTGAAAGGAAAAGAATAAAAATAAAGGGAAAAAAGAAAAAATAAAAAGAGGAAAGGAAAAAATAAAAATAAAAGAAAAAAGGAAAAGGGGGAAAATATGAAGAAAAAGAAAAGGGAAAAGAAAAAAAAGGGAAAAATAAGAGGAAGAGGAAGAAAAAGGAAAATAAAAAATGAAAATGAAAAAATAAAAATAAGTGGAAGAGGAAGAAAAAGAAAATGGAGAAGCATAATGAAAAGAAAAATTAAAAAAGGAAAAGGAAAAGATAAAAATAAGAGCCAGAGTAAAGAAAAGGAAATTAAAAATATAAAAGAAAATAAAAAAGAGAAAGGAAAAAATAAAAATAAGAAGAAGAGAAAAGAAAAAGAGAAATAAAAGGGAAGAGGAAAAAGTAAAAATAAAAACAAGAGAAAGAAAAAAAGGGGAAAAAGGGAAAGAAAAATTTAAAAAAAAAAAAAAAAAAAAAAAAAGGAAAAGAAAAAAAAAAAAAAAAAAAAAAAAAAAAAAAAAAAAAAAAAAAAAAAAAAAAAAAAAAGAAAAAGAAACAGGGAAAGGGAAAAAATAAAAATAAGAACAAAAGGAAGAAAAATAAAAAGGAACATGGAAAAGGAAAGAAAAAGGAAGTGGGCAAAGCAGCAGCTCTGGCAGTGAAAGTAGAGCCTGCTCTAAACGCAGCTCAGTTTAAGACTTTCCTTTCCAGCTCCAGCAGCGGCTCCTGGAAGGCTGAACAGAGAGCATGGATTGCCCTGTTAGCAGAGAAACCTCCATCTCCTGTCACTGGCTCTTCCTCCCCAAACACTTCCTCTGCTCCCTGGTCCTTCCCCCAGCCGGACACAAACCACCTTCGCTCCCAGGAGATCCCTGCAGGCCTGCCCTGCTCTCCCAGGAACGGCCTCACTTCCCAACATTTCCCTTCAAAGCTTTGAATTTGAGCTCAGCCAGAAACCTGCTCCCTGTCTGGGAGCTGCTGCTGGAGTTCATTGCCATCAATGCTCAGTTTATCAGTTTTGCTGGCCATAAACAGATAAGGAGCCCAGGCCCCTGCCCTGGGGGATTTCATTCCAGGTGGCTCAGGGGGAAATCCCGTTAATGTTGAGGAGATAATGGAGTCCATCTCTTCTTCTTCTTCTTCACATTTCATATATCAAAAGGGATTTAATAGATGGGATTTGCATCTTGGACTGATTTACTGCCAGAAGAGCTTCACACATCTCTTCATCCACAGTGAGCTGCAGTCTCCCTGCTTAGGAAATATAACCTGTCCCACCACGTGGAGCTCCTTCCCCAGACCTTCCAAAGGTGGCCTAATTAGGCTTTGGGGGGAAATTTAGTGCCCAATATTCCAACGTGGGTACCTGCCATGGAGAATAATGCCCTGAAATGGTGATGCAGAGACTCAAACACTCAACAGAGATGATAAGTTTCCATCCTCCTTCTCGTCTCAAAATGACCTTCAAGTCAGGACAGGCAGTACCTGCTGCGAGTTTTCCTGGAGTTCCATTGCTTCCCCAATCCCTCTGCCTTTAACTAACTTCCAGTAGCACAGTGGCACATCAAACCCAGCTTCATGTGTTCTTACTGTGGATTTACAAGGACCAGAGAAGCATCTCAGATGCTGGAAGTGGCTGCTCAGGATTTGGGCGATGACCCCACACAGCTCCAGGTCCACAGTGAGATGTTGCTCTTCCACCAGCTCCTCCAGGTGGGATGGGAGCAGCAACTGCAGCATCCACTTCATCCCTTTCCCCTCAGCAGATTTCACAGAGTCTTGGAATGATTTGGGTTGGAAGGGATCTTAAAACTCATCTCATTCCCACCATGGGCAGGGACACTTTCCACTAGCCCAGGCTGCTCCAAACCCCATCCTGGCCTTGGACACTTCCAGGGATGGGGCAGCCACAGCTTCTGTGACCCTTGGATTAATTCCCAGTACTTGTTTCTCCAATTTCACCATCCAAGATGAGAGGCTTCCCCTTGGAAGGACCTCACCATGCCCATAATTTCACTCTTTTTCAGTCCAAAGTTGCCCATTCCTGTTCATTTTCTGCTCCCCACGTCTCCATCCTGGAAAAAGACAGTTTTTCTCCTGAAAAGCCCAAGTGATTATAACACAGAAATGCTTCCCTGAGAGCACATCTTGTGATCAGGAGCTCAGCAAAACAAGTCTGGCTTCAACACATCCTCTCCAGCTCTGCTTCTTCCCCGTTTGGAGGCTCAGGAAGATGAGCAACAATCCTGGCTCAAGAGGAGGCAAAACACAGAGCTGTCTCCACTTTGAAATAAAACTTTTGGGAAGCTCTCAACAGCACTAGAATTGGCCTGAGCCTCGGGGACAAATCCTGCTATTTATGCACAGAAACTCAAGCTCTGATGCAATGAATTCAGTTTTGCTCTGGACCATCTTCCCTCCCTTATTCTCCCTTTCGGGTGCAGAGTAAATTGGGCACCTCTTCATTTTCTCGGGCTGATAATCACTACAGCCTCCAAACTCCACTGAGTACTTTTACCTCAGTGGGATCTTCATCTGAGGAACCAGGAAGAGCTGAGGAACCAGAAATCCCTGAGGAACCAGGAAGAGCTGGACTGTTCCTCGCTCCTCGTTACCTGGACCCTCAGTCAGCATCCATTAATTACACTGGGAATTCCCAAACACTCTCAGAGCTGCCATCAGACGAAGCAGAGGGCTTTGAAGAGCAGATCAAAGCAAAGGTTGTCAGCTCTCCATGATGCACTGGGATGTGGGAGCTCACTGCAGGAGGAGGGATGAGGATGGTGGTGGACACGGAGCCGGAGCTCTGCTGGGATGTAAATCCCAATCCCATGCTCTGGTGGGGTTCGGCTGCTCACAGCCTCTCCCTCAGCCTTCCAGCAGCTCTGATGGGCCAAAAGGATTAAACTCAAATATTCCAGCAGAGTGAAAGGGGAGGAAAACACTGAATTAAATCCACCCTTTGGGTTGCTCTCCTTGCCTTGGCTTCGCAGTGTAACCAACCCCGAGCTCATCCATCATCCCAGCTCAGGAATGCTTTCCAGAAAAGGCTCCACTGCAGTGAAGTCCCACTATTTCATGACCCCGTTATTTAATATTTTAAAAACTGAACTCATAAATTCAGGACAAAACCTCACAGCATTAACCAAACAGAACCCTTCTATTATTTCCAGCTGAAAGGCCCTTTGTCAACAGGGAATGGAATCAAATCTGCATTTTTCGCGTGGCAAATGTTTCCACCGGAAGAATTACAATCAGCTGAGCTCCCCCAGCTCCCTGCTCCAGGTTTTTTGGGGCCAAGTTTATTGCTTTGCAAAGTCTGAAGCGATTGGAGGAAGCTTTTCCCAGCCTGCCTGAAAAGCGTCGTCGTTTTGGGACAGGGAGCAACCAAAACTCGCCTCAGCCACACTTTCAGCTCCTGTGCAAAACTGTCACGGCTCCAGCAGCTCTTTTTTCAGCAATTCCAAAGTATTTCCTTGAGGAGGGAGCAGAAAACTCCCTGCAAATCTTAAAAATAATCTGAATTTTGCCCTGGAGGTGCATTGTGTGAGATCTGCATTCGCTCTGGCTGGAGGTGCCTCTGTGGCACCAGAGGTGATTCTGACACCGTGTTAAGGAGGAGAATGGAATTCCTGTGTTTTTTATCTCCAGGCAGCCTCCAGCCTCATGTCCTGGAATGTGGGACATGTTCTGTTACCCTGCACTTGCTGAGCCCAACCTGTTGTCCCACTGATCTTGGTCCCAGAGCAGGATTCCCAGAGTGCCATCCCACAG